GGCTCTAACACTTTTTCACACTCTTTACTGCTACATTGTAAACAGGGTCTGAGCGCGGCTGAGTAGATTTCTCGTGTCAGTGGTTTTGGATGATCATACTGTTTTATAGCCGGACTTTGGGGTCTTTGATCTGGAATTCGCTCTCCAAACGGAGTGTGAATAGACACGGATGAGGGTGGATATGCAGCTGCACTACAAAAACAAGGTTGTGATCTCATAGAAAATTATGATTAGATCGTTCAGCTTACCCTGGACACTCTTAAATCTGCAAACATAATTAAGGTGTCCATCTCTGACCTCAGTTTGTCAGTTTTCCAGAGATTTTTAAGCAGTGGCAGGAGGCCCACACTTGCTGTTTGTGTATAAACAGCAACCCAGAAATCCTGCTCGTTCTGTCTTTACGGAAACTTATTTGTCTTTTGTGACTGGCTGGATCTCATTGTTCAGGTGGGGAGTGGAGTGGAGCGGATGTAGGGTAGGCAAATTGAAATTTGGCTGTAACAAGAAAAAGAATCGACTCCCTTCGTTTTTACCAAAGAGCCATTCAAAAACCAGATCGATCTCGAACGTCACATCACTACATTTGAAAAAACTATATATACGTAATGGCAATACTTATGACTTTTGTGCTTTTATTATGGTAAATTACGGACAAATGTGAAAATATGTATGAACATGTGTCTGTAAACGTAATTAAAGAGTCCATCTCTGAAATCAGTTTGTCCTATCAGTTTTCCTGAGATATACAGTACATTTGCGTTAATGACATTTATAGTTACTTCATGTTCTAGGTAGAATTTCAGGTTACTTGAAATACACAGTAAAAATGTTATTGCACTTATATTTAAAATTTGTTGAAACTACAACCCAATTCCCAAAAAGTTTGGACGCTGTGTAAAATGTAAATAAATGTAAATAAAAACAGAATGCAATGATTTGCAAACCTCATAGACCCATATTTTATTCACAATACAACACAGAACACGTATCAGATGTTGAAAGTGAGACATTTTACCATTTCATGAAAAACATTAACTCGTTTAGAACTTCATGGCAGCAATGCATCTCAAAAAAGTTGGGACAGGGCCGTGTCTACCATTGTGTAGCATCCCCTTTTAACAACAATCAGTAAACGTCTGGGAAGTGAGGAGACCGACTGCTGGAGTTTTGGGAGAGGAATGTTGTCCCATTCTTGTCTGATGTAGGATTTTAGCTGCTCAACAGTCCTGGGTCTTCTTTGCTGGGTTTTTCATTTCCTGATGAGCCAAATGTTTTCTATTGGTGAATGGTCTGGACTGCAGGCAAGCCAGTTCAGCACCCGAACTGTGGTTTAGCACTGGCTTGCTGAAATATGCCTGGCCTTTACTGAAAGAGACGCTGTCTGGATGGGAGCATATGTTGTTCTAAATCCTCTATATACTGTTCAGCATTGATAGAGCCTTTCCAGATGTGTAAGCTGCCCACGCCATAGGCACCAATGCAGCCCCAGACCATCAGAGATGCAGACTTTTGAACTGTGTGTAAAATATGGGTCCGAGATTTGTGAATTATTGCATTTTGTTCTTATTTACATTTTACACCATGTCCCAACTTTTTTGGAATTGGGATTGTATTTCACTTATTAAGAGAATTTTTGTAGTAAGGTTTTAGATATTAGAAAAAAGGCCTTGGGGGAAAAAAACATCTCAGGCTGTGTACATCAGGCAGTTTTGATCAAATACAGTTTTATGACCAAATTAAAGATGTCATATTATAGCTACACTTTTATTGTGTTCTGCTATTGGACAAATATAGAGCCTTAACTCATATTCTGTGTTTACACCAGTATCCACTTCAGTGCAAGGGACCATATCAACATACTGGAAGAAAAGACATAGTCCCTCACATATTTTTTCTTCCAGTATGTTGATATAGTGAAGGACCTGACTTTTTAAAAAACATTTACTGTAGTTATTTGATGCACGATTACCTGAATAAGAGAATTTTGGGGACAGATGTTCAGCAGATAACTGGATAAACTGCTTGTCACTTTTGTTATTTGACATTGACTTTTTTCCTTTCTTTCTTCCAGAAAGAGAAGACTTCTTATTCCTAAGTCTTCTGCTGCTTCTAGTGTAGTTTCCTACACAGCTTCAAATCCAATTCCACAAACACATCGGGAGTTGCTACAAAGAGCAAAATAATACACTGCGGAAATCAGCTGAAATTTATGTGAGCATGTCATCTGCAAGAAGCTTGAGTACTCAAACAACATCTGTTAGCACAGACAGTACCAGAAGATCACAGAGAAAAATTCAGAAAAACCCAGGCAAGAAGAGAACGTATCACTGTTCAGAGTGTGGGAAGAGTTTTACTGTACAGAGTAGCCTCGAACGACATCAACGCATTCATACAGGAGAGAAACCGTATCACTGCTCAGAGTGTGGAAAGAGTTTTAAACGAAAGAATCATCTCCAATTACACCAGCGTACCCACACAGGAGAGAAGCCGTATGACTGCTTAGAGTGTGGGAAGAGTTTTTCTGTACAGGGTAGTCTCCGACTACACCAGCGCATTCACACTGGAGAGAAACCATATCAGTGCTCCGAGTGTGGGAAGTGTTTTACTGTACAGTGTAGTCTCCACACACACAAGCGCATTCACACTGGAGAGAAACCATATCAGTGCTCTGAGTGTGGAAAGAGGTTTACTGTACAGTGCAGTCTCCAAACACACCAGCGCATTCACACAGGAGAGAAACCGTATCACTGTTCAGAGTGTGGAAAGAGTTTTAATCAACGAGGTTATCTCCGGATACACAGACGCGTTCACACTGGACTAAAACCATATTATTGTTCAGAGTGTGGGAAGAGTTTTACTTCTCAAACAAGACTCCAAACACACCAGCACATTCACACAGGTGAAAAACCATATTGTTGCTCAGAATGTGGGAAGAGTTTTCGAGAGAATGGTACCCTCAAACTACACCAGCGCATTCACACAGGAGAGAAACCGTATAACTGCTTAAAGTGTGGTAAGAAGTTCAGTTCACACAGTTATCTCAAAATACACCAGCGCGTTCATACGGGAGAGAAACCGTATCACTGCTCAGAGTGCAATAAAAGTTTTACTACTCAAAGCAGTCTAAAAGTACACCAGCGCATTCACACAGGAGAGAAACCGTATTCCTGCTCACAGTGTAGGAAAAGTTTTACTCGACTAGGTCATCTGCAAGTACACCAGCGTATTCACACGGGATTAAAACCGTATTACTGTTCAGAATGTGGGAAGAGTTTCAGTGATGAAGGTAATTTTAAGAAACACCAACTAATTCACACAGGAGAGAAACCTCATCACTGCTCAGAGTGTGGGCAGTCCTTCAGACATTCAAAATCTTTAAAGACACACAAGTGCACAAAGAGAAAGGTGAGAACACGTTCTAAGAAAAGAAATTCATTCTAAGAAACATAAAAGGGTTGTTGTCATCAGGGTGCACCAATATCAGTTGTATGCCAATAGTGTTGACCAGTATTTTTCATGTATGTCTGCCCATGATACATGATTATGGAAATCTACCTTCCTGTGGTGACTAGTTTGAACCACAATCTGTCTCACCTGCTCCAGCTTGTTAAAATCTTCAGAAGTCCTTGACTGGATGGATCAGATGAATTAACGTTAGAAAAGTGGGGGCAGCATGTTGGGTGCAGTTTGGAATGAAAATCTGTAGGAAAGTAGATTTGCAGGCAGAAGGTTGTTGACCACTTATTAAAAACTGTTCTACAAGGTTATAAATTTAACTGTCACATCCAAACATCTTTATAATAACCATACTGATGTGATTTGGATACCGTAGTGTATCCCTAGTTTGTGTATAGTGAGGGATGAAGTGGGGTGATACAACAACTATTTCTGTTTTTTAGGGAGTATAAATGGATGTAACCTGTGTTTTTGTTTTTTATGTATGATTATTTTATATGTACGATTATATTATAAAACGGTTGTAAAATTTAGTTCTGTATATCTTACATTTATTATGTTTTAAGCATGTAATAAAATCTCCTTTTATGGTCCATGTTTGAATGTGGACATTTGCCATATTAAGTTTGTGAAGCACGTTTAAAGTCAAAAGTAGTGGTTGCACATGGCAGCACAGTGGAAGTTGGCATTGAGCTCTAAGTTGAGGTTACATGTTCAAGAACCATCAAGACCAACTCTGTACTTTTAGTGTTTTCTCTGCACCCAACACAGCTTATCCAACTAATCAGCTGATGGTCAGCACATGGTAGGCGCACACCCTCCTAAAAAGCTTGTTGTTTGTTAGTTTGTGTATATATGCTATTTTTGTTATTCCATGCGGGGTGGGGATAAGTAGTTTCATTAGACGAATTTCAATTGGCAGGGGTCGCAGGACGTGTTGCTGAATCCAAAAACTGCGTAGTTGGGTGTCCAGTGACTAGTCAGTAGAATCATCATGAATTTTCAGCTGCAGTTTTATAATATCTACCCTGCTGTTTTGTCGTAGTTTAGCAGAAATACATTTTTTTTATCGGCTATTCAATGCAATGTTGTCTCAGTGTTCACCTAAAAGAGCAGACTCATTCATGAATGACATCATCAGTGATCTGTATGTGCCTTTCTGCCTGGTGTTTAATAAAGAGCACTTTTCAGGTGGAAACCCTGCCTGCAGTGAACATCTTGTAAAGCCAGTTATTTTTTTAATGAACCCGTTTCGTATGTCCTCGTTTGTCTGTGTAAACGTTTTCATTTCTACTACTGAGCTAAAACGGCCTTTAGCACAAGTCCTATGGATGCATTCAATAGTAGCGCAGGAGGCGGGATTTACCGGAATACGGGTGGGATGTATATTTAAAAAATCCATATCGGCCGTGATCCCCCCCCCCAATAATATCAGTGAGTCCCGTGCAGCCCAAGTGGGGGCGCTAGTTCTGTAACTGTGGTTCGCCAGAGACAATAATGCGGAGAAGAAGAGCGAGAGAAACAGCTGCTCTGTTGTAAGTAGGGGCTCTAACACTTTTTCACACTCTGTGTTTTGAACTGGTCTTTGGAGGAATGCCTGGACAGATGTTTGCTTTTTTGTGAAGTGGGCTGTGAAATGTCAGCCAGCACAGAAACATGGCCGAGTCGTCTCGCGCAGTGGTTTAGGGTGATCAGTGTTTACAGCTGGACTCTGGGGGTCCTCGGTCTCGCATTTGCTCTCCAGACAGCGGAGTGAACAGACCGGGGTGTCCTTTCTTATCTGTGTGGCTGCAGCAGGTCTTCATTCCAAATAAGCGCGAGCTCAGCTGAGTCTACTCGTTTAATCAGTTGGTCAGTCGGATGATCGTGTGAGCTCACGCTGTGTTGTAATGTGAACCTACAGCCACACCGGCCCAGTGGATTAGATTGGACACCCCCTGGAATAGACAGTGATGAGGGTGGATATGATGAGGTGAGGACTGCTGAAGACCTTTGTTGTGTACATCTTTCAGAGGTGGGAGGGCAGATGGGTCTTATTAAAAGCGGTCAGAATGGTGAGGTGAGGTGAGGCGGGGCCTCCAGAACAAGAGAATCATCTACAAAACAGCAGCCACGTTTACATGCAGTCTAATAATCCGTTAAAGATCCGACTAATAGCTCAGTCGGAATAGGCTAGTCCGATTGAGGCTATTCCGAGTACATTTCTATCCGATTAAACGACGTGGGTAATCCTGCAAATAATCATTTAAATATAAGCATAATAACAATGTAAACGGCTGCATTCCCATATAGAAACTTTAATTACGTGAGAAAGTTTATAACCTTCAGCATGGCGGGAGCAGAAACTCTTATTTCAAGTTAAATACTGCTAGGGGTCATCCAAAAAAAGCACAAATTTTAAAACACAAAAAAAATCTTATATTATTATTATTATGTATGGAACGTCCCTTCATAAAACCAGACTATCACTGATAACTTGGCAGATTTCTGACTTGTGATGGTTTGCATAAATGCAAGCAGTTTGTAGTCTGTATTGAGTAGTTTAATATGGTGCAAATTGTCAGTATTTTTGGAATCTTAACCAGGTTTGGGTATCAATAATAATAATTGTTTTGTTGTTGATGTAAGTGTAAAATTGGTATCTATTTTAGTAAATTCATTACACAGTGACGTTCTAAGAGAATTCCAAAAGTGTCTGTAAAATTAGCAGTGAAACCATCAGAACCAGAAGATTTGTCTAAAGATGAACAGATCAGTGCTCCATCCAACTCTTCCATTGACAGTTCAGCTTCACATATATTATGAAACATTTCATCAATCTGAGGAATAAAATCTACAGTACTATTCAAAAAATGCATCAATATCTGATTCTGAAAAGGACAAAGTTTACAACTCCTTATAATATGAATAAATTTCTTTAGCAATTAATCTTGGATCAGAACATTTCTACATCATTGATAATTCGAGTTTTAACAGCGTTCCTCTTATTCTTTTTCAAGTATACAAAAATAAGCTGTTTCTTTCTTCCACCCATTTTGCTTGATCTAATGTAAGCACCCTTTGCCCTTCTGATATAAATCTTGTCTAATGTTGATTGAAGGTTTACCAACTATTGATTGTTCTCATTCCCTGATCTTCACTGACAAAGTATGTTTATATGTTTAATTAATTCAGCTTCTCTTAAATTATAATAATGGTACAGAAAATTACTGTAATGCCTTGAAAATGTTGAATCTTACGTGATAAATTCCTATTTCTCTGTGTTTGTAGAAACCTCCAACATATTATTTGATACCAGCCGATAGTCAATACGAGGACAGGATGAGGCATTTGGGCTAAACCAAGAATACCAGTGACAGTCAGGATTCAACATGCGCTGAGGATCTACTAATGACTGAGATAAAATTAATTCACTAATAACCAAATTAGAATGATGGTCTTCAAATTTGCTAGGATAGCAGTCTAGATAATCGTCTGACCATTTTAAAACCACCACCTAAAACACTTTCAGTAAACAGTGCAGCTTTCAAATCTATGAGAACACCTGTTATCTCTAATATAAGGAGACTATTTAAAGCTAAGTTATTTTAACCTTTAACATTGCCTTTGATAACAATGTTATCCTCTACATTTATAACTACAAAACAGCCAGTGCCCAGTTTCGTCCATCTTGGTAGTGATCAACTTTCCAGGGAAACTGTTAAGTAGGGTAGCAAGTTAAGCCATGAGAAACACTATTTTATCTCCCCATTGATTTACCCAAAACTTTTCGTCCTCGGTGCAAGAATGAGTTTCCTGGAGCAGCACACAATTTGCTTTTTTACCCTTACAAAACAAAAAACAGATTTTCTTTTCATGTTGTCTCTAAGACCTCACGCATTCAATGAAACAATGTTTAGTGCACAACTGAAAGAAAAGGGAGCTGAAACTGGTCTGCAGAGGAGACGAAGTTTAAGCTCTGAACTTCAAAAGACAGCGGTGAGACGGGCATTTCAGAACATGATGTCTTCCTTTTCTTTAGTAAGTAAATGTGAAGTACGTTTTCCTGAGTCTGACTTCATTTTAACGCAATAAAAAAGGCTGCGCCAAATGAAAACTCGGGTCACTCCTGCTGTTTGTCTCCCTCTGACTCGTGATGCTTGTTGTCATAGTAGGGTCTAAAATAAGTGGTGCTTATATACACATACGTGTAATTTTGGATCTGATTACATGTAATGTGCATGTAAACAGATTTTCTAGCAGGTTGTTGAGTAGAGTGAGCATATAAATACCTCAGTCTTGATCTGTAATCAGAGTGTATTCATTCGGATTGGTAAAAATCTTTGCATGTAAACACAACCAGTGAGTATTTATGCAGCTGCACTAAAAAACAAGGCTGTGCTCTCACTGAAAGTTGTGATTAGATCATTAAGTTTACCCTGGAAATACTCAGATCTGCACATCTGCAAATTGCCAAGTTTATTATTGCAGGCTCTATTTTTTTGGTAGCAAAATATGTGATTAAAATATCAAAAGAATGTATTAAGCTAAGCCATTTAACTATTAACTGTAACTATTGTTATGTTCGTAAATTGTTAGTACTCCCTGCTAGAAAAAAAACAGTATATGTTGTTTTGGATGTTGGTATGTAGGTCAACTGGTATGATGGGTGCCAGATTCCATACTGGTCTGTGCTGTTTTTGTTTGTTTGTTTGTTTGTTTTTCTCCCAGCAGGGCTGCTGCTTGTCTAAAAACAGTCATTTAAAATTTCTTTTCTTGCATCCTGCTTATATGATTTGCATACTTTTATTGTGGCAAAACGTAAAGAAGTATCTGTATCTGTTTCTGTATATGTAATTAAGGAGTCTATCTCTGACATCAGTTTGTCCAATCAATCATCAATCACTCCTCAGGCATACAATACACGTACATTGATGACACTGACAGTTGTGTGTAAATATTCAGATTATATGAAAAACAGTAGAAACAGCATTGGTTGCACATTTTAAAAACTGTTGGGAGCAAAATGAAAAAAAATTATTATTAAAAGTGACATCATTATCACTGGGTATCATTCTGTGGCCAATCAGCATTAAATTCTGGGTTGGATACTGGAGGGAAAATGAAGAATGAATCAGATCCAGTGCTGTAACAAATCTATCCTGAAATAGCTCTCACTCAGCACTGTGTGGTGTCCTGTTGTTAACTGGGTATTTCTTCCTGTTGGGTAGTACAGTGTTTTGAGTAGTTTGGGTATGATGGTCTATTTCTAGAGATTCTAGAGACTTAATTTTAAAGCTTTGTAGTTTTAAATTCCACATTCATAGTTCCTACATGGTTGCACGTGGTGCTGCAGGCAGACGTCATGCCTGTATAAATAGCTGCCTGTGAGATACAGTGTACGCCTTTGGACACTTACAGTTTCATGGCCAAATTCAAGATGAGGTCGTACTACAGCCACATGGTTACCTGAATAAGAGGACAGGCCTAGCATCAGCATTGAGAAAGTGGCATTGTGTATTTTTGATTTACGTTCACTAATGATTTATTTTGGGCCATTCTCCCAAACAGAACTTCAGAGACTTTTACAGAGAAAAAAGTTAAAGTGTTACTACAGTTAGGTTTCTTCCTCATGACTAACACACTTTAGTCCCTGATATCAGTACCTGAATTTTGCATGAATTTTCTTTTTTTTTCCCCCTTTCTCTTCAGCTCCTAGGGTTCACTTTCCTACGCAGTTCAAGTTTCCCTCTCAGACACATCAGGAGACACCACCAAGAGGAATACATCACACATTACTGAAAACATGGCTTCCACAGAAAACCCAGGGCCTCAGTTGGCTTCCTGTACTGTCCGTGTTAACACAGGCCGCCGCCGAACGCGGAAACCTGCAAGCAAGGAGAGAATTCATCACTGTTCAGAGTGTGGGAAGAGTTTTACTAGACACAGTCATCTCAAAACACACCAGCGCATTCACACAGGAGAGAAACCGTATCAGTGCTCCGTGTGTGGGAAGAGTTTTAATCAGAAGGGTCATCTCCAAATACACCAGCGCATTCATGTAGAAGAGAAACTGTACCACTGCTTACAGTGTGGAATAGGTTTTACTGACAGACGTGATCTCCAGTTACACCAGCGCATTCACACAGAAAGGAAGCCGTATGGCTGCTCAGAGTGTGGAAGGAGTTTTACTTTACAGAGTCATCTCAGAATACATCAGCGCATTCACACAGGAGAGAAACCGCATCAGTGCTCAGTGTGCGGGAGGAATTTTAGTGTACGGAGTCATCTTCGAACACATCAACGCATTCACACTGGAGAGAAACCGTATCAGTGCTCAGAGTGTGGGAAGAATTTTAGTCAAAAGACTCATCTCCGAACGCACCAGCGCATTCACACAGGAGAAAAACCCTATCACTGTTCAGAGTGTGGGAAGAGTTTTCATCAACAGGGTAATCTCTTGGCACATCAGCGCATTCACACAGGAGAGAAACCGTATTACTGCTCTGATTGTGGGAAGAGTTTTCATCAACAAGGTCATCTCCAGACACATCAGTGCATTCACATGGAAGAGGGAAGAGTTTTTGAAACCGACCTAATTTGAGAACACACCAGTTCATTCACAACAGAGAGGATATAGTACTGATCAGAGTGTGGGCAGAGCATCAGGAATTTGAAATCTTGAAAAGAAACAGAAGTGCACTTAAAAGAAGACTGTGTTTCAGCTGAGGTATAAAGGGATGTTAGTGGAGACTGTTCTGATGTCTGTCAGCAATTACCAGGCTTTTACTCTAATGAAAACTCTAATGGACTCAGGTTGGGCATAGATTGAGAAATGAACATGCACCGCCTGCAAAAATCCAATGAAATCTGCTTCACCCACCAGATATTGTGCATTACGTAGTATAAGTTATATAGAATCAACCTAGGCTGCTGCTGATGTTGAAAGCAAAGATGTGTTAAAACTATGGCCTCTGCCCTGTGGTCTCTGGTCTCACAGACTTTGGATGTACTCTCAATGATGCTCACTTAAGTGCTCAATGCCATACCATCTAATCTGTGAGGCAGCTTGCCTGCAAAAATATTAAAAAGAGCTCTAATGAGAGGGAAATTCAGCTTGAGCTATGATTAATCCTGACACCAAAATCTGCGCAAGACATTCTTTGTCTAAAATATTCCTTAATTTGTCAAAGTATCATTGTTCGTCTAAAACATCGAATCTAAGACATCATTATGTAATCACATGTTTCACTATCAGTTTTGTGTAACTATACTAGCAAAGTCTGCTAAAGCATGCAGCCTTTCTGGAAGTTCTATAAAAAGTCAGCATTATCTCCCTTACAGCCTAGATGAATGGTGGAATTGGACCCCTGCGGCCCTGTGGCCTTTCTCCTAGTCTGTAGAAGACTGTAGGTATGGACTGGGCAATGGTGTGATCCATACAGAATGAATTACTCAAAAACCTGTAGTAGCATTAATGTTGCCATAATTTCAGTGAGCAAACTTGCTAAGTGTAACATGGATAATGTGCAGGAATGCTAGCGAAATCGTCTTCTGTTTGAAAAATTGACAAATGAGACAAGATTGTAACTTGTTCAGAATTACCATAATATCTAAGAGCTACGTAAACCTGTCTGTTTGGATTCATTCATTATGTAGTGATGCTTAATTGAAATGAAGTGAATTATCAAGGATATCCCACCTAGAAGGCGGATTTATCTGTATCAATCAATGACAGCAGTTGGATAACATGTTTGAAAACACTGTTTATGGAGATGGAACAGTGACAAGTTGAATTTCAGATCGGCTTTCATAATAATAGTCCTTTATAATTGTACTGATTATATACAAATTAATGTAATTTAACACTACAAAACATTTACTGAACATTCTGCCTATTTATTATTATTATTATTATTATTAATTATTATTATTATTATTATTATTACTGTTATTGTCGTAGTATGGATTATAAGTATTATTAGTGGTACTCTCTCATTAGTTGCAATAGTGGTGATAATACTAGTTGTAGTAGTTTTTGCAGTAGTATCAAACTTCTGTTACACATCTAATAAACTGCCTAATAAGTAACATGTTTTCAGTGTTAAAACAGTGCTCACTAGTTGTTGTGATGCTAACTCTAGCTAAGCTTGCTTTCTGATCTTTTCTGGAGTGAAGGCAGTGTGTAAATCAAGTATTCACACCTGTCTCTGACATCTATACGGTGATTTCTTTCCCCAGGCAAATTGGTCATAAACATTATCCCCATGGAAATATAATCCCATCTGAATAGCACAACTGACTGATGAGAAGTTAGACAGAATCGAGTCTGGAGCTGTTAGCCAAGATAGCATTTGAACCCCAGCCAGCTTCACAGTACTGGCCTAGTAAGCACTGTGTAACCTTAATTGTTTTTGGATAAATATTTTAGCTATTATAGAGTGAGAAAATCTCACTGTTTTATTTTCAGGTCACTAGTGTTACATCTGAAGTTAATGTTTTAATTTATGTTCTGCTCAATCTCATTTCATGCATTAATGGCTTATAGAATTTTCATAACCACCATCATTGAAAACAGCCCTCTAACATTTTACATCTACAGACAGATGTACTTAAAACTCGATGCAAGAAATCAATTTTGTTTCTGTCAGCAATCCTACGTTCACATGTGTATTTTAAAAAATATATAGAGAGGCTGAACATTAAAATATTGATTCTTGTTTTTCACAGCCCAAATTTTCAATGTTATCCTTTATATTTTCTGATTTAATTAGATTTTAATTTAGGAAATTACTGTAAAAGGTTTGACATTTTCTCTTGTTATTTACATATCTGTATGGATATATTAATAATTTTGTCTGTTATGCTTGTGTAATGGTGCCTTAGTTTGTATTGCTTGAATTGTGTGTCTTTTGTCTCTTTATGATTTGAAGATGCAGTGGATGGAATTTTCTTCTGTGGTCTGAGAAGAAATTTCCGTGCTCTACTTTTCTGTATTTAAGCATAAGAACTTTTCTATGGTCTAGAAAGCTGCCAGCTGTTAAATGGCCATTATGTAGTGAATATTTAGAAATGTGATGTTTTACTCTTCACAGAAACATGGAGCCTGTTTAAACTTTGCATTAACATGTTAAGTGTCTGGATTGTATCTGGAGAAACTTTGGCTCAGATTTCATTTACACCTCATTAAAATGTGTCCCCCAGTGTGACCAGATGAGAACCAATTGTACTTTTCCCATGTAAAATGCAGACCAATGTGTACATCTTTTCCACTTTCCCTGTTGAGCGATCCGATCATGATCCGATCACAGTGCGCTCTGGAGGTGCTTAGCTTTGACTTTTCATGTGGTCAAGTGCAGTCCTAATGTGATCCAATTACCAAAAACATGTCAATGCAAGGTGTAAACAGGCCCTAGTGACCCTGAGACCAAGTCAGGTGAGAGGATAAGGTCAGTAATCAGCAGTACTTCTGGAACAATACAAACTACAAGATTATATAGAGCCTGGCAGAGTTTTATTCGTTATTAGGATAGACAGCAGGAAGGTACTAGAGAGTAAAGGGTAAAATGGAGCTGCCATCAGAAAAAAATCAGCTCTTACCTGTATTATTGTTTTTCCCAGTTATGCCATGGTCTATTCTTTTGTTTTTGATTCTTTGATTTTCACTTAATTCTTTATTTTCAAGTTAAGTCTGGAAAATAATTATCAAACTCTGTAACAATTGTATGGATAATAATTGACATAATCTGCCATCACACAGTAGTGATTAATAAACATTTTTGTTTTACACGTATTTTGACTTTTTTTATTTTGTGTCGATATCAGTATACTTATGATGATGTGATCAGATACCCTACAGGAAATTATAACTATTGTCCTTTCAAAAGACTTATTTAGCAGCAGTCTATAGGTAGCAGTACAGCATTGTTGTGCAGTTTTCATTCTCCAGAAGAGGGCAGTAGATCTTAGTACAGCTCTGTTCACTGATTACGTCACCAAAGCAATTGACCATGTGTTAGCCTGAGACGCTACGGCCAGAAAGATGTACACGGACCATCTGATCTAACTTTTACACTAAGATAGGGCTGCTGCAACTGATCAATTAATTGGGTATCATTGATAAAAAAGTACTTTGCAATAACTCTTGTTATTGGTTAGTTGGACTTACAACACTTCCTGTTAAATATTAGTTAATAACATAACCTAAAATTAGAATTTTCTGTAGATTTCATATTATTTTTAGTATTGCGTAAAATTACTTTTTAGTATTGTGTAAAGTTAGTCAATGATCAGAAAAGGTTAAACATGGGCCTCATTTGGGCTGTACACTGGGCCCAGTGTGGTCTGTAGGTGGGCTGTAAACGTGCGACATTTATGGATTTGCTGATGTGTGAGAGACTATTGTGTTTCTACTAGAGCTTGCACTAAACTTGTGTTGGTTTTTTACGTCAAGTGCAGACTAAATACTTTTTTCTGCTGCTCCAGACAACTAACCAGCACGTTTATGGAGTTTAGCACTCTATATATTCAAAAACGTAAGAAAATTGTCAAAATAAAGAAATCTGCTTTGTACATTGTGATCATTTTCTATAACACTATGATTAAGCACCATCAATGAACTTAGCCCTTGTACTTGTATTTACATCTGGTATGTTTTTCAATGATATCTAGTTTAATGTTTTGTTTAGTTTAATGGTTATAAAAATATTTGTTCTGAAACATGTTGATTGTCATTTGATCTGCTGCGTCTTTGTTCAAGAGAAACCCCAGTACTGCCTGTAGGCATGAGATAAATATAAATCTAAACTCACTTGGACACTTTATATGGCTGTCAGCTTCCTTATTTAAATTTTGGCAGGTTATGTATAGCCATCTGTTGGAAACCGAGGTTATTGCATTTATAGCGCCATGTAAATCATTAAGAAGATGCAGGAATGTCTTAAGCAATAAAAATTGATGAAAATATTTTAAGGAATAAATAATGGCTGATTTAGTCATAAAACTCATGAAAATGTACCTCCATGCACGTATTTGTTTACAATCTGATGTTGCCTGCTCCAACATGGCAGACGCACAAACGTATCACCTCAGGTTATAAACCACATGCTAACAATATAAATGGAGTTGCATTTATCGAAGTCCATAAAGATCAGGCCAAACTAAAAGCCGTACCATAAGTACCACTGACAGGTCTGCAGTGGTGTGACTTTGTAACTAACACAAAAAGTGAACTCAGAATACAGCAAATTTGGAGAGATGTTTTCATAACATTACTGAGAGACAAGTTAAATTTCTTTTATTACAACTTATACATGTCCTTCCATGTGTTTAAGGTACTGAAGCATATAACATATTCTATGTATATAGCAAATGATGAATATAGTACTGTGTACACAGTGGTATTGCAGGTCCAGGACTAGGACAGGGAACCACTGTGTACGTTCATTTAATGTTTCTATAAGTGTTTGTAATACATCTGTATAAATGCTGGATCTCACAAGGTTTTACCAATTTTAGTAGTTTTACTTGTTCTGTACACAAGAAGTTTGAAAGTAAATACATAAGAAATAACGTGAACAGCAGACTTGATATTTATTGTTCACAAAATAAAATCCTGAATTAAAAAATATTTAAATCATTCAGTCACGGCTCAGTAAAAATTGGTCCTTGGTAATTTACCATAAAACAGCAATTATGGCAGATTAGATTGATGCTTCCAGACAGGCTGAGAGGCACAGTAGAATCCCAGTTGTGGTTTTCTTTATGCATAGCACTGTTTCCACAAAGATTCTGAGATGGACAATTGCCTGTGTTTCTTCATAGTCCTTTTTGCTGGACTGTTTTCCATGTTTAAACGGTGCGATGTTTAGTCTCGCGCCCTTAACTGCCAGCATTTCTTTGATGACAAAACCCTTGCCTGCCATGACCTCATGTCCAGGTTTCAGTAGGTTTATAACATCAGACTTCCTTGTCAGAAATTGAACCCTAACCCTAACCAAATTGAAAAGGCTAGAAATGAATCTCACTGTACCGCATGGTGCAACTCCAAGTAGACCTTTAAACATGGTGTTGTTTTTTGCAGTTGGAGAAGGTCTGAGAGTGAAGTGGTAGAGCGGTGGCACTTTCACAGCAAATTTCTGTGCAGTCAAGTGTGACGCTCACTTTTGGGCTGCACAGTCTAAATTTCTGTGGCTTGGAGTCATCCACCTGTCGGATGGTCGTCCAAATGGGTACTGGACCCAGCACAAAGAACAGGTAATTTATCCATGCGATGATTATTCTTCTAACTGTAGCAGTGCTTACTCCACACATCAGCAATTACCTTCTCCTTAAGTCCAGCAACTACACAAGGGCAACAGATTAACAGTTCATCTAGCAGCTAGGAGACTCTCCTTACAGGGCTTAGTGTTGGGAAAGCTGCTTCTCCAATTCTTTATGCTTTGGTCCAATAAAGAAGCTGTGTGGTGAACGAAGTGATGGACTCCCAAAAAATCTTAATTACTTGCTGAGAAGGGAAGAATCTGGTGCAATACCTGATGGTCTCATCAGAAACACAAAATCTGCTTAGGGTGGTTAACGACTCCACAGACGTATCTTGTGCAATCTATCCTCCAGCTCTTCGAAATACTGCAGGGCCTCATCCAGAGCACCTATAAAATATGTGAAAATCATTATTATAAAGTGTTGCATTACAGTACACTGTAATCATAATCCAATGTACTTATAAAGGTTTTTATCTATGATAAAACTAATTGCACATATTATCTGTTTAGAAATTCAGAGTTTAGAAATACATCTGAGTACCAATATGAAGTATTCATATAAATCATGAAGCATTTAAGTGGCTCTCACAAAACAGATGAAACCAATATTTTGCTATTAACGCTATTAGTTGATAATCTTATGCAAAATAACTATGTCCAATAAAACAAGATTCACCACGATAACTGGCAAGAAAACCAAATCTTTCTAACAAATAACTAGTATACAACCCCATTTCCCAAAAAGTTGGGACGCTGGGCAAAATGTAAATAAAAACAAAAAGCAGTGAAAACGATTTGAACCCTATATTTCATTGAAAATATTACAAAGACAACATATCAAATGCTGAAACTGGGAAATTTTGTGTTTTGTGTTTGTGTAAAATATTTGCCCATTTTGAATTTGATTCCAACAACACGTTCCAAAAAAGTTGTGACGGGTCAACAAAAGGCTGGTAAAGTTGTATAATGCTAAAAAACACCAGGTGGTTGATTGGCAGCAGGTCAGTAACATGATTGGGTATAAAAAGAGCATCTCAGAGAGGCGGAGTCTTTCAGAAGTAAAGATGAGGAGGGGTTCACCACTCTGTGAAAGACTGCACCATCAAATAGTGCAACAATTCAAGAATAACGTTTCTCAACATAAAACAACAAAGAACTTTTTTGCTTTTCATCATCTACGGTACATAATATCATTAAAAGATTCAGAGAATCAGGAGAAATCTCTGTATGTAAGGGACGAGGCCAAAAACCAGTATTTGCTGGCCATGACCTTTGGGACCTCAGACGGCACTGCATTAAAACCAGACATGATTCTGTAGTGGAAATCACTGCATGGGCTCAGAAACACTTCTGAAAATCACTGTCTGTGTAAACAGTTCATCACTGCAGCCAGAAATGGAAGTTAAAACTCTAAAACGCAAAGAAAAAACTGCACATAAACAGGATCCAGAAATGCTGCCACCTTCTCTGGGTCTGGGCACATTTAAATGGACTGAGGGGAAGTGGAAAAGTGTCCTGTGGTCTGATGAATCAACATTTGAAATTCTTTTTTGGAAATCATGGACACTGTGTCCTCCAGGCTAAAGACCACTCAGCTTGTTATCAGTGCACAGTTCAAAAGCCAGTATTCATGACGGTACAGGGGTGCATTAGTGCACAGGGCATGGGTGACGTGCACATCTGTGAAGGCACCATTAATGCTGAACAACAGATACATGTTTTGGCAACATATGCTGCCGTCCAGATGACGTCTTTTTCAGGGAAGGCCTTGATTATTTCAGTAAGACAATGACAAACCACATTCCGCATGTATTACAAAAGCATGGCTCCGTATTAAAAGAGTCCGGGTGCTAAACTGACCTGCCTGCAGTCCAGACCTGTCACCACTGATAACATTTGGCACATTATGAAATGAAAAATACAACAAAAGTGACACTGAACTGTTGAGCAGCTGAAATCCTATAACAAACAAGAACAGGAAAACATTTCACTTTCAAAACTACAGCAGTGTCTCCTCAGTTCCCAAATGCTTACAGAGTGTTGTTAAAAGAAGAGGTGATGAAACACAGTGGTAAACAGGCCCCCGTCCCAACTTTTTTGGAACGCGTTGTTGGCATCAAATTCAAAATGGGCAGATATTTTTCAAAAAACAATAAAATTTCTCAGTTTTAACATTTGATATGTTGTCTTTGGAGTATTTTCCTTTAAAAACATGGTTTACATGATATGCATATCATTGCATTCTAGTTTTATTTACATTCTGCACAGCGTCCCAACTTTTTTGGAAATGGGGTTGTACTAGTAGTAGACACAACATAAAGGTAAATGTGCATACATACAGGGGGGAGGGATGTGTGCTGCGTAGTCATGGTCCATAGTGCCACAGCAGTTTTCCACAACCACCAGCTCCAGTAAAGGAGCATCTACTCCCCTCCAAGAGCTTGCTCCCTGAAATGCTGATAGCTTTCGAGGAGGGACATGAAAACCGACTTTCAACCACAAACTTCCTTCAACATAGTCTGCAGCAGAG